AGACAAGGCGGACGACATGCGATAGTTCCAGCTTCGAAGTCCGACGTCAAAACTTCAACTCCACTCTTCTTCGCTTAAACATTTCTCTCCCTTCTAGCCTTCCCTTTGCCATCATGACCAGTTAACTCCTGAATGAGCACTCCACCATACAGTTACGCTGCCTCTCAGTGGCGGATCCAGGGGGGGGGGGGCAAAATGGGTATTTGCCCCTCCCAAACGGCATAATTTTAACATTACGCCTATGGACGAGGCATGGAAAGAATCGATAAATTGTTATGGTTTGCCCCCCCCCCCCCCAAAAAAAACAAACTCTGAGCTGGATCCGCCTCTGCTGCCTCTCTCAACGGAGTCCCCTCTGGCGACTGCCGATATTCCCTTTATCCTACTCCACCGCCGAGGTCAGACCACCTCAGCTGGGAGTCAGCGGGCCATCAGAGGTCGACAGCGGGCCATCAGAGGTCGACAGCGGGCCATCAGAGGTGGACAGCCGGCCATCAGAGGTCGACAGCGGGCCATCAGAGGTCGACAGCGGGCCATCAGAGGTGGACAGCGGGCCATCAGAGGTCGACAGCGGGCCATCAGAGGTCGACAGCGGGCCATCAGAGGTCGACAGGGACCGCGGCGCGTCTCAGGGATGATTTCCCAGGGGCGGAGTGGCCCAGTGTCACTGGGTAGTCGTTTAGCGCGGCGGCAGATGAGCGCGTGTTACGGGCCGCGGAAGTCGTGTGTCTCGAGGGATGCCTCGAAGACAAGAGACGCATTCTGTTGCTGCCCGACGTAGAGAGGCTGGGACGACGATCGAAGGAGAGAGTGGAGGAGTTTGCAGATCTTTCAGAGCTCACTGACTGACGCGGTCCTGAAGTTTGATTAGCGCAGACCATAACTGTGTTTACACGCCGATCGAAATGACTCCAAGAACTTGGACCGTATTGACGTCCAACTTTGGTGATGTTTCAGCGAAAAGGTCGCCAACTTTTGCCATCTGCGACATCCCGCTGACGTTTGATGGATGAACCCGCGGTTTATCGCCTGGACGTGAGTTCTGCCCCGCGGAGGACTCGTATTCCGCCAGAAATAATCCAACACCCTTGGTGAGGATCCGAGTTTAAAGCTTGCCATGCTGACGGTGCCACAAACGCACTGAGCCGACGGAGTTAGATCACTTATCCTGGTCGTGGTCTTGGCTGTTCTTAGATTGTCACAGTTGTCAATGGTCTGTCTCCACGTCAGCCGTCATTGATCAGAAGCGCCATCCGTCACCGCAGCACTCAGGGAGGGGACGCGCTGAACGGATCCACTCTCGTCCCTCCCCGTCTCCGCCGCTGCCCGCACGCTGCCGCCACTCGGCCCCTTAGACCCCAGGGCTCGCACCATCCGTCGTTCAGCAGAGACAAGGCCTGTATTTCACCCCGGCCCACGGTAATTGTACGGACGCGTGGGTCTTCAAATAATTCTCCCCAAGTAACAGTAGCAGTTACTTTGTAAAATATTACGCACCATACCTTTCTTCCTTATTTCTGTAGATGTCTTCCTTGTCCTACATTATGTGACTCTTCAGCGGAAATTCCCAACACTATCTCTGGCCGCTAACCATTACCTACCCTAATTCCGGTTCGCGGGCCCGTCTCGCGGCACTCCTAACTGCTCCACTCCCGGTTTACAGCCCCCCCCCCACATCTCGGGAGAAGCTGGCGCAGCTCTGCCCGCCGGATCGATGGCGTCCAGAGCCTCCCGGCTCTCCTGTGAGCTGCGGGCTGCGGGTGGACGCCGATGGCGCCGGTGCCGGCGGACAAATGAGATCCTATCCTAGGGCGGACAGCTGGAGACGATGGCGGCGTTCAGCGTAACGGGAAGCAGCGGCGGCGACGGCGGTGAAGTGTTCGCCCTGCTGTTTTGGAGCCGGAGGAGCTGTAAGGCCGAGCTGGCGGCGGCGCCGGTGGCCGCACCGCCACGCCGGAGGGGCGGGTGGATGAATGTTAAATCGCAGAAGGAGCGACTGCCGACGGGGGAGCAGCTATCAGATCAATACCGCCACCCTAACCGCCGAGTTCCATCAAAACAGACCGGGTGCGTCGCCTCGGATATGACACCCGGGCGCAGTTTACGTGTTTACCGCTCCTCCTACACACGAGGATCACCGTACCCATCAGTAGATTGGACGTCTTCCAGCGTCTGCCATCGGCAGACCACGCCTCGGAGCGCCTCCGTATCCGAAAACGGAAATCAGTAGAGATCGTCGTCCTCACGCAGTTTCGACGTTGCCGGGGCGTACGCCCCGCCGCTGATCCAGTCCTGAATAAAACACCAGCTCAGCGTGCGGCAACGCCGAGACGGGCAGTCCGGCAGGGTCCCCGGACGGTCCGGTACCTAACAGAGACGGACGGGCCCCTCGCGATATCTCTGGGCGGTGGAGTGGCGGAAATTATTCATCTTAAGAGGGCCTAGTCTCCAAACCAGATCCTTCAGCCGGTTCAGCGGTACTCGGGCCATGGAGTGTGGTGCGTGTGGAGAGGCAACCAATGAACTTCCAGGAGACATACGGACTGGGAGCGAGAAATGCCAGCTAAAATAAATGGAAATAAGCCGGATGGCTTCTCTGGCATCTCAATTTGTTCTCTATGATTCGATGAACACTTTGATTGCAGCCGCGGGTACAACTATAACCGAAACCAGACGAATATAGCATCAGACAGAGCCGGCAGAACTGGAAGCCGATCCTAGATTAAAACCCCACTACTCCAGGCGCCGAATTTAGATTAGCGTAGTTCCCTTGTAACGTAATCTACTTAAGCTAGACCAAGAAAAGAAACAAGATCACCTTCACCTCTGCGCCGACCCACAGCCTGCGATAGATCTGTACCACCTGTAAGGCACAACTTCCGTCCCTCCCGGCCTGACGTATCGACCGGCGAACAAACCAGCCTATACCAGCCGCCTTACCCCACCCCCAGCTATACGAACTGCCTGCCCGCGGACCCCGCGGCGACCACCCACCGTGTCAGGAAGGGTCACCGGCCGCCCGGCTGTACTGTAAACTGACCCCTATGGACACCGGTATGTGCCGACATGGGAACAGGGCGGCTCCCTTTGTGAAGCTGTCTGAGTTATGGCCCTGCCTAGTAAATGAATAGTTAACCGGAGATGGATGTTGCATGTTGCAACTAATCGATGGGGCGAGCAGCTCCAATGAGAAGGCTGCACACAACAGCGAACCGCTTTGTTCCCGTGGAAAGCATTGCATCTTGATGATATCGTGAGATGATGTTTTTCGTACCTACTCCAGCGTAGATGGGTAGCCATACGGCTTCCACGGTTGACAGTGATGGCAAGATGACAAAAGATGCAAAAGATGACTGATGCCATCACTGTCAACCGTGGAAGCCGTATGGCTACCCATCTACGCTGGAGTACGAAAAACATCATCTCACGCTCTCAGTCCCAGCGGATAAAAACAACACCTAAGAAGTATCTTGATGATACTGATTATAATTTGTGAATCATAAAACTGCACTCCTGATAACAGCCTCCATTTCTAAAATGTCAAAATAAAATAGCACATCATGGCTGGTGAGGAATTCACAATATGTGAAAGCGAATTCCGATAATTTCAATTTGAATTTCAAGATGCCCAAAATATCGTCACAAATAGGTAAACCCTGACGAAATGCATTCGTTGCCACACCCACCCCACCTCCACGTGATCCCCTACCCTCGACTCCTAAAATGTATGTTCAAAAACACGCTCTGCGACTGTTTACTGCTCATAGCGGGCGCCCCCGGGACCCAATGGCCATCCATAAGGGCAAATATTAATGAAATTCCGGCCGAGTCGGGCTGCAGGGCGGCCAGACATCGATTTATCGACCACGTCGGGCCGTCGAGCGGTGCCGACTGCTAGACTCAAAGGGACAGCGCCGGGGGCCACTATACCAGGAGCCAACAACAGGGGGGAGCAGCTCACAGTATGGGGCTCCGCTTAAGTACCGACTCTGAAGAAGCGACACATTATACTACAAGAGCTTGGGCAGTGATTGGCTTGCATATCGCTAAAAAAGACACTCCAGCAATTCATAACTGACCATAGGTAAATATATCACGATCCTTGAGAGGAAATGCCAAATATGCTGTCGACTTCCCTTGAGAGTAAACCGTATGCATCGTCAATCAGAGAACAGGCGTCCCCCCAGTCCATTTAACCCACCCTCCCCGTCCGTGCCCACCGCTCAGGCAGCAGCCCCCGCCGACCAGTTAGCTGCCACAGCGGCTTATTTACCCCCCCCCCCTCCCGATCAGCCCCAGGTTAGTGTCCGTGCATGCCCAGTGCACACTCGCGCCCGCTATTCTCAGTCCAAGAATGCATCTCCCCGGTTAGCGTGGAGCGTTAGTATACAACATCAAGGCAGTTGACGCCGACCGAGCAGCGAGCCATGATGCGCCGACACGTCCATACACACTGCAGCGCATCAGAGGGACGCATGGTCCGCACACACTGCACACAGCACACACACACACACACTGCAGCGCATCAAAGGGACGCGCCGCACACTCACTGCACACAGCACAGCACAGCACAGCACACTGCACATCACAGTGGTGACACACCACAATTCGGTCTGCACCGGACGGCAAGCCCGACAAGTCCCTCCAGGGCAGTCGCAGGCCGAGCCATGGTGTAGATCGAACATCCCCAATGTCATCCTCAGGCATCTCATCCGGATCTTTCTTCCTTGTTATTTGTCTGATCATGACTGTGAGCTGTTAATCGCTATGCAATATCCATCAGTACAGCTTTTCCATCAATGCCAATCAGCCAAATGCATCATACCATTCTCATTAACCACCCGGCTTTCAATTTCGTTCACGATTACCGATAGTCAGTTTTTTCGGATTCATGCAGCAGTCATTCGCGGGTCTGCAGTCGCCATGCCGCCCCCTCTCTCGGCAGGGGGAGGGGGAGGGGTGCTCGGAGCAGGGGGTTAGCGCACGCCGGGTCCACTTACGACTGAGCTCCATCTGACCCTCGTAATAGGGCAGATACACGTGCTGGGCATTGGACGGACGCCCGTACACGGCGGAGTCGAGAAAATCGTCCCCTGGTCGTACCCGCACCGTCAGACACGGCCGGGCGAGCGGGGGAGGGGGTCCGGCGACAACATAACGGGGGTGAGATGACTACTAAAGACAGCAACTGAACAGTCTGAGCACAGAACTGAGGGATGCAAGGCAGTTATACGGTAGATACGATATGTAAGGTACTGCAGGGCGCACAAACTACGAAACAAAGAATCGATAGCTCTGTATGGGGCGCCAACATTCAACAAGAAGAACACAAAGCTTAGTCGATAAATAGATAAATAAATGAACCAAGATTATACCAAAATTTACAATGAAGAGTACTAGGGCTGTCAGGATGTCGTAACGTAAGGCACCACTGTTAATCCCTCCATCCCATCTTTGCATCCCTCCCCTTCGGTCCCTGGCCCCCTGTTGACGTCACCGTCCGTAATAAGAGGTCTGCAGCCCGGTCGAGCGGCGCCTGTTTCCAGATCAATGATCACCAATGAGAGTGGTCCGATATTGGGCAGCTCAGAGCCCCCCCCCCTATATTGGGCGGCTGAGAGGCCCCCCCCCCCCTGATATTGGGCGGCTGAGGAGCCAGGCCTCGACCGAGACGGGAAATCAATGACCAGACAACGCTGATTGGCCTATTTTGGGAGCGCAAGACGCGGGCAATTTGTCGATACATATTGGTTTATCAACAGGCGCTCGGTGGGTTCCATGGAGATTAAATGGACAATATGATTCCAAAGGGACAGCTTTCGATAGTTGCCGCTTTTCTTTGATTGATGAAAGAAGTGGAGAATGCATCATTAAGGGCACACAGAATGCCAAGAGAAATCAGAACTCCACTACTGAGACCGTCACCTCCCGTCATTAAACAGCCTTTGTCCATGGGGGACCTGGTAAAACCCTATTACATGCATTTATGACGGGCCAAAACTGGCACTCTCCCAGTTATCTACACGGTAATTAGAGCATTGCGATTTATGAGTCTCAGCTTTCCCACACACCCTCTCCTCAGACACACATACTCTCAAATTCTCTCAAATTCTCACAGTTCACTTTTTACTTATTTCTGCTTTCGCTCCTCCATCCTTCCCTCCGTAAACGTTTGTGCTCATTTCCCGGTTTACTTTCTCTTTCAGTCTCACAAAACGCCTTTCAACGCGCTTTACACCGTGGCCGATAGTTCCCGCCCCTTCCCTTCCCCTTCCTCTCCTCCGTTCTCCCCCGACCCACCTCCTTCATCCTCGCTGTCGCTGAGGAAGGTCTCCTGCATGGTCTCGGGCGAGACCACCTTGTACTTCTCCTCCGTGACCGTCGTGGTGGTGGTGGTGATGACCGTCTCCGTCACTACCTTCAGCGACTCGACCACGGAGATGTATCCCAGACGCTGGGCGATCGACAGCGCCGTCTGGCCGGTCTGTGTGTGTGTGTGTGGGGGGGGGGAGTCAGAGTCTGGCCAGTCTGTAGGGGAGGGGAGTCAGGGTCTGACCAGTCTGTAGGGGAGGGGGAGTCAGAGTCTGGTCAGTCTGTAGCAGAGAGTCATAGTGAGTTACACAGAGAGGTTAGTCTGTGGGGGCGCAATAACATAAACAGTCACACGACCAAGTTAACGAGATTGAACACCAAGATCGTTTTTGTGGAAACTTGAGGCTCTCGTTCAACTTCTAGTGCAGGCTTTGTTATAAATCATACCTGCGTAGTACGCGCACCTGATGATTCACCTACAAAGCTTCATATTTTTTTCTTCCAATTTACTCTACATATTCCACGCCACTTTTATCTGATCACCCTATCATCCCACTCCCCGCCCATCACTGCTTATAAGTGTTCAGCGCTCAGGCAGCCCTCCAACGCTCGCAGCCATACGCTCCGCTCCGCCGCCCCGCCTCTGGCTACGCCTTCCCTAAAGGTCAGCGTCTGATCAGCCCGCGGTCACACCAGGAGGGATCTACTGGGAGGGAGGGGGACGCCAAAGGTCATCGGGGCCATATATGGCGTGACCTTTACCACGAGAGGAGCTCTCCTCAGCGGCTAGGTCGGCCGGCGCACTGTCAAGCCCTTGCCGCGGTGATAGCCCGAGGCGGCGGCAAAGCCACGCAGTGACAGGGACAGGGCGGTGCTTATGGGCCTGTCTACTGAATACATCCTCTGCTTATGACAAAAAATGTCTGTCGGGAGCTTGCCAATAGCTAAGAGATAAAAGGTTGTGTTGGAATAAGAGAATCTTAACTGTTGTATTTACTCTCCTCGAGCTCTTTTTGCTCTTCCTTCATGGGCCACAAAACTGGCAGTCAGAATCAGCTAAACCGCGCAATATCGCACCATCGAGCGCTTCTATCGGTCAGTAACCAACCGTCCTCTCCCCTCACCCCAGTGGGGGAGGATCAGACTGGTGTCGGCATTCCGTCGGTAACCTAACCCGGGCCTGTGCTCGGTATCGGTGTCCTCTGTCCAGCGCCGCCGCCACCCACAACGCGGCCAGACAGAGGTGTCAACGGGAGGGAGAGAGAGAGAGAGAGAGAGAGAGAGAGAGAGAGAGAGAGAGAGAGAGAGAGAGAGAGAGAGAGAGAGAGAGAGAGAGAGAGAGGCCGACACCTGACACCGCGGAGGTGTCAACGTGTCAACGACAGAGAAAGGGACCGGGATCGGACAGCAGACGGCAGGGCAGAGCGATAAGGAAAATCCCAAGATACCGGCTCAGAACAACGAAAACAAAACCAGGATGAAGGAATGAGGGCGAGGAGCAAAGAACGAGAGAGAAATCAGACTGGTTGAAAAAGAGGTACGAAGAGTGGCCTCGTTTCCATACTAAGGCTCCTACTATTCCAAACACCTAACCATTCAACGGATGTCGCCGTCGGGACTAAAACGCTCCTGCTGTTCCGTCGGTGGCTCGGTGGCCGGAGCTACTTCTACCTCCGCCCGCGGAGCGTCTCTCTGGTGTTAGTTCAGCGTCTGTCCGCGGTGCGGCGCTACTCACGTTGGTGACAGCGTTCGGCTGCGCCTTGTGTTCGAGCAGCAGGCTGATGATGAGCGTGTGCCCCTGCTGGGCGGCCTGGTGCAGCGGCGTGTAACCCGCGGCAGTTACAGGGTTCACCTGAACGGGAGGACGGGGTCAGTGTCAGACTGAGGGTGAGTGTGCCCCGGCCTGGTGCAGCGGCGTGTAGCCCGCAGCAGTTACCGGGTTCACCTGACAAGGGGGAGGGGTTCAGTGTCAGCGTGTGCCCCTGCTGGGCGGCCTGGTGCAGCGGGGTGTAGCCGGCGGCAGTTACAGGGTTCACCTGACAAGGGGGAGGGGGGGGGGTCAGTGTCACTAAAAACGGGGTGACCGTTTGAGTGGCAGGGTGGGCTGTCCTAACGGGACATTTATGTCCTACCGAGACGGTCTATGCCGCTGCGGTGCTCCGTCGGTGACCCGCATAGTCTAATGTCTACACTCTATCTCATCATTCCATAACTTTGCCTTATGCCGAAAAAGCTAACCCCAACAAAACATAACAAAATGAAATCGTTCAAAAACACTGCTTTGGATGGCCGTGCTCTTAGTGGACCAGTAGCTCATGTCTGAAATAAAAATTCTCAAATGCAAATATGATATTAATGATCCGTACCATGGCCTGCAAAGGTCCTCGACAATACAGGCTTTCTATGAGAACACTAACGTCCCGAATGTCCCTCGTCTCACGCCTCCATTGCCCACCAAATATGTAGAGCCAGTCATCCTCATCCACCCTCACTCTCTCCCCAACTCTTCATCCATCCCCGCGCCCCTCACCTCGGCCTGGTGCTGCAGCAGGAATCGGACCATGTTCAGCTGCCCGAAGTGGGATGCCACGTGCAGCGGCGTGTAGCCGGCCGCCGTCTCTGGTCCCACCTCTGCCCCGTGCTTCACAAGGATAGCCGCCACCGGCACCCGGTCCTCTTGGGCGCACAGGTGCAGGGGCGTGAGACCGTTCTGTAGAGAGGGGAGGGGGTTAGAGGGTCGCCACCGGCACCCGGTCCTCTTGGGCGCACAGGTGCAGCGGCGTCAGGCCGTTCTGAGGGGAGGGGAGGGGGTTAGAGGGCGGCCACCGGTAGTGGTACACGGTCCTCTTGGGCGCACAGGTGCAGCGGCGTGAGACCGTTCTGTAGAGAGGGGCAGAAGATTGTCAAGAAAGGGATAACATGGTTTACCGATGGGCAGAACAGCACCCAAAGAAAACTTGAATTGACTCTGGTAATGACTATTTTTCTTGCAGATACATGGCTAGATAGGTGTTTGACTCTTCATCATCATAACGAGGTACCGATATGGAGCTTTCAAGAGGCTAAATTACTCAGAGATACTCAGGGCAGCGTTTCAAATCCGAGTGTCCCTCCCTTCCTCCCTCCCTCCCTCCCTTAGTACCCCTGTCCCCACCTTGGCCTTCTGGTTGACGTCTGCCATGTGCTCGATGAGCAGGGTGCTCATGTCCGAGTGACCCTCCTGGGCGGCCAGGTGGAGCGGTGTGAACCCGGCCTTGGACTCGCAGTTGGTCTCGGCGCCGTACTCGAGCAGAGTGGTGGCTATGTCCATCTGACGGGACACAAACCCGACACAGGGGGTTAGAGCTGACGCATTGCAACACGGACAGCAGGGATACAGGTGACGGGACACAAACCACTAGAGCCACCAACTCGAGCAGAGTGGTGGCTATGTCCATCTGACGGGACACAAACCAGGCGGGAAGTAAGAGTAACCGGATTGCGGAGGCAATAATGCGGCAACAGTAGACATAACGTAGGGAATCGGAGCAGCACCACTAATTGCGTCAGTATGTGAACTGACAACACGATCGTTAACACGCCGCCAAAAACGGAAACATAAAAATACGGTTTTAGATATGACGAATGTATATTTAAAACTGCCTATTTGTCATACCTGGTTCTTTTTGGCGGCGATGTGCAGTGGCGTGTAGCCGTTTTTGGCGGTGGCCTTGACGGAGGCTCCCTTCTCAAGCAGCAGCAGCGCCACATTCTGGTGGTCGTAGTGGGCCGCCACGTGCAGCGGAGTCACGCCGTTCTGAGGGAGGACAGGGGTAACTTAATGAAAAAGAAACACGTTCAGCTGGCGACGACTGGCGACTTCCTCCCACCGAGGCACGCACGTGACCCCCCATGACCACGAACTCCTCAGTTCGCTCCTTCTCCTCGTGAGCTTCTCACTTCTCAGGTCACCTGTCTCTGACGACACTGACCGACGTAACTGCGGATAGACCGACCCCGAGTAATCTCTCTGGTGATCTGCACCTCCCCTGACCTCAGACAGTCCTCACAAGGCTAGACGATCTGACTATGGTGATCTCCTGGCCTTTTGTCCCCGTTTGTGACCTCTGTGAGGTGACCTCACCTTGCCCTGTGCGTCCACGGGCGCGTCCTTGGCCAGCAGCGTTTTGGCGACGCGCATGTTTCCGTACTTGGCGGCCAGGTGGAGCGGCGTGAAGCCCTTCTTGGTGACCGCCGAGAGAGAGGCGCCGTGCTCCATCAGCACCTGGGCGACCTGACGGAACGGAGCGAACGGGAAATGAACGGTGCGGAACAGAACGACGGAGGGCGCCTTACGCCAATACACCTCTACTAAACTTCCATAAGATCACAAACATTGTTGCTTATTCTCATAATACGATGCCCGTCGATACGATGAGCTTTTAAACCGGACAACACAATTTGACGGGGTTACTACTTCCCTCACTTTCCTTCTATCACATAGGTTCCAAGTCCCGCCCCCTCCCTCCCTCCCTCCCCCCTCACGCCCTCAAGCATAACATTTTACCCTCCCACCCACAAACCACCACCCATTCGCCCCTTCGGCGTAAGGCCAACAGCGTCCCCGCCATTAGGCCGAGAAAAGCGGGCCACTTAGCGGAGCCGACATGGGACACATGTCGCAGGTAAAATTAAAAACACACCTCGACATAGAAGTCACACATACACATGAGCTGTCCAGGGACACCCCTATCACACGGACACAGCAGCATCAGGGGAAACTTTCTACCAGCGGCACAAACGATCCCAAATTCCTGACTCAGCCCCGGGCACTCAGTAAACAGTTGACCCAGAACGGGCTCCCACCTGCCCTGAGGGGGGGGGGGGCGCCGCTGCCACCGGCGGGCAGCGCGCCAGAAGTGCCGCACGGCGCTAAAAATAGTGCCCAGGGCGTGGCGCCCCCTGCGCCGCCTCTGCCGCCGTCGCCGCTGGCCGTCACAACTGCCGCGACCCGCCGAGACGCCGCAGATTCCGCTCAAACGGCCCCCACTTAGCACTAGTAAAAATCCATCTTCTACCATTACTAACTTGGCTTTAGATGTGAAAAATATATTGATTTCTTCCATTGATGACTTTGGTTTTTGAGTATGGAGAAAGCATATAATAATAAGAAGCCAGTGGGTTGCCTATGCCATGATAGCCGAAGCCGGACGGCGTCTTTTTTAGTCGAAGCGTTAGGTAATTAATGGCAGTGTCGGCGGCAGTTTCGGCGGGCGGCGGAGGCGGTGGCAGCAGAAAGGCACAGGTGGCGGCCCACTGGTGTATTGTGAACACAACATTCCGACGCACTGACTGGGACAGGGCCGTACATTCGTCACACACTGCAGTGGAAGACGACAGTTGGCATCTAGTGAATGTCACCGAACACACGCGCCCACACACACTAAACGTCAGAGGGGGCAAATCATATCTGGGAGGCGTGTGATGACTTCAACATAAATCAGTAAAACATAAATGCAATGTGCCGCAAATAAATGTCATCAGTGTTTCAATACGGCAAGTTTGATAGGATCGCATGGCCAAGAGGCTGACAGCAATTTCAAAGGACATCTAAAAAACGCTTGTTTTGGCTAACCTATCTTTGAAACCAAACTTTCACTAACAACATAACAAAGCATTGACAAAAACAGCCACTTGACTAGATTCGGGGATCAACAAAACGACTAAAATGACTAGAATCCACATCCACTCATCCGAAATAATAAATAATCAAACGACGGGCAAACAGCAAAACTCAAATCAAAATCGGAAACCAAACACTGCGGCAACACCTATACCTACAGCACACATACCAACCAGTATAACGCCTTTTGTGGCGACTAACGGAGCGAGCGAGAGTGTGGGCCTTGCACGTGCGAAATTGCGAGGGGGTACCTCCAACTGACTTGTGCACGGCACCTTACTAACCGGTCTCTAGCGATGTGCCAAATTTGAGCACAATCGGCCCAGCCGTTCTCGAGATCTGGAAGCGGCACCCTGCACGTGCGCACGTGCAAAATGGGTCCCAACTGACTTGTGCACGGCACCCTACTAACTGCTCCGTAACCGTGTACCAAATTTGAGCGCAATCGGTCCAGCCGTTCTCGAGATCTGGAAACGACCCCTGCACGTGCGCACGTGCAGCAGCACCCCAACTCTGGCACATGGATATGCATTGCCTAGTGGGTGCCTACCTACATGCCAACTCTCAGCGCAATCGGCCCAGTAGTTACCGAGATATTGCAACAATTACAAAAGTGACACCTCTTCGTTTTGCACGTGGCACGTGCATAAGGGGTCACCCACATGCATCGGGAATAGTGCAATACTTGGTAGAAGGAATGGAGCTACCCTACAAAAATTACCGCATGTAAATCGGTCAAGTGGTTGCTGAGATATAAGCCTCGCAAAAGCGTGACCACGGCCGGCCGGCCGGCCGGCCGCTCATACTCAGAAATTTCCGTTAATCTAAGGAAAGACTACGCTCGCTTCGCTCGCTCCGTAATCAAAAATTCCCATAATACCAGTATAACGCCTTTTGGGGCGACTAACGGAGCGAGCGAGAGGGTGGGCCTTGCACGTGCGAAATTGCGAGGGGGTACCTCCAACTGACTTGTGCACGGCACCCTACTAACTGGTCTCTAGCGATGTGCCAAATTTGGGCACAATCGGCCCAGCCGTTCTCGAGATCTGGAAGCGGCACCCTGCACGTGCGCACGTGCAAAATGGGTCCCAACTGACTTGTGCACGGCACCCTACTAACCGGTCCCTAACCGTGTACCAAATTTGAGCGCAATCGGTCCAGCCGTTCCCGAGATCTGGAAACGACCCCTGCACGTGCGCACGTGCAGCAGCACCCCAACTCTGGCACATGTATATGCAGTGCCTAGTGGGTGCCTACCTACATGCCAACTTTCAGCGCAATCGGCCAAGTAGTTACCGAGATATTGCAACAATTACAAAAGTGACACCTCTTCGTTTTGCACGTGGCACGTGCATAAGGGGTCACCCACATGCATCGGGAATAGTCCAATACTTGGTAGAAGGAATGAAGCTACCCTACAAAAATTACCGCGTGTAAATCGGTCAAGTGGTTGCTGAGATATAAGCCTCGCAAAAGCGTGACCACGGCCGGCCGGCCGGCCGGCCGGCCGGCCGGCCGCTCATACTCAGAAATTTCCGTTAATCTAAGGAAAGACTACGCTCGCTTCGCTCGCTCCGTAACAATGACTCAGATCGGCCGCTTTACGAGGAAAGACGATAGGGTGTAACACATGACGGGGGATCACCGAATCATTGACCAGCCGGAAATAGTCTATTTAGCCCGTCTTTTACCCATGAGGTAGGTAGGTAAGGAGAGAGGATATTCAGGGCTAGGTAACACGGGAGTGTCAAAGGTACAGTCCACAGCAGAAGTAATGTGCGGTTTCAGTCATGGGTATGTTCTGCTTCTGAAGCTTAGGAACGATTAACCAGACTACAATGAAACTTTTAATGTAGCTTATATGTATCATCACCCTCGCAGCTGCAACTTTAGCTATTGGCATCTTCTTTTCGATCACTCCGCATTAAACAATCGCCAGTCAAAGCCAACCGTTGAGATTGGTAAAACCCTACATTACTTTAGCGGTGGGCTGTACCACCACAAGCCATCTACCATACAATGGTCGCTAACCACCCGTCAGGTCAACTGGTCATAAGGTTTATCACAGCCTGTGCTCACACAGGCACCCGCGCCCTCACAGACAGGTGAGCGTGGGATCGATCCTCGAGTAAGGCCCTTGCTAAGGCCCTCCTCCTTCCCAGGGTTCTCTCGACATTCGTGAAGACGGATACCTCAGCCCCATGGTTTGCTCCCGGGGCATGATAACGCGAGAGGTCCCCACACATTATTTATGAGGAAGGTGTTTCCCTATAATACCAGGCAGTCGAGACGATTTAAGGTTCCATATGACAGCGTAATCGCACAGAGTAGGGCGCACCGAGCCTATTTCATCTGGTACAAACCCCTTTTGAGCAGCATACTAGACTTTGCCGACAAACAGAGAGAGAATGAGCCGTGAGGGCCTTTCACTTCAGATGGCCCGAGGGCTGCAATCATGGCCAAGCCGGTAATAGGACGGCAGTATTCGGCTTATCGGATTTCCGAAGTGATATCACAGGGCAAATAGATTGGCACGTTATAGAGCACTGCGTGACGTAAGGCACTGGTTTGTCTTGAGAGCAGTCATTACTAAGCGTCCACCGCCCGAAATAATGAACTTTGTCGATAATTGTCCTCTCGGAGATAAGTCCATTGGAGAATAGTTATCGACTCAACAACCAATAGTTGCCATTTACAGTGAATCGTATCAAATAGCCATGCCATAAAGAATCGCAGGGAACTCGCCATACGCGAGACAGGAAGCATGATGGTGGCATGTGTAAGTGTTGATCAATTATCCATTAGCTACGTTTGAGTGATATCTGTTGGTCTTTACGGGGAGGGGGGGGGGGGCAGTGCCCGTTTCCCTCGCCCAGCCTGACTCGTTTCGCTGCTGGATTTTATGTAAGATAAAATCGATTGCCATGTAGCAGATGCGCTTTGAAAGTCAGAGCAATTAAACAAACCATCCCTAAACCAATTTCATGCTAGGCCGGTTTAGACTTCCGGGCAATTGTTTTTCCTATCAGTTGCACCTACCGAATGACAATGGTCGCCAAAGTGGGAACGCCTGTACTCAGACCCGAATCCAGCTTTCTGAATCCACGCAACAGTCCTCCCCACCACATCACCTCCCCCCCCCCCCCAAGTCTGACGTGATATGGATCACAACGCGCGGCCACGCTGGTGTCAGAAGCACTCCCGAGACCGACTATCGCTGCAGGCCCTGTGGCCTAATGGATAAGGCGTCGGATTCCGGATCCGAAGATTGCAGGTTCGAGTCCTGCCAGGGTCGTCCGTTTTCGACACAAGTTAAATATTTTGGGGAAAAGGATACTTCCCAAAACTCATAGTATTTCAGGACGGGGACGAAAGGCACAATGGTCTTTTAACTAGTACCACCCTCCCGCCGTACGACTAAACCTCCCCATCCACCATCCCCGCGTCCCCCTGCCCTGTGCCAGCGGCTGCCACCAGCTCGCCCAGCCTGTGCCTCATTCTGTCGGCCAGGTAGCCGTTACTGATGTACAGACACAGCTGGTCGGCCAGTCCGAGCACGTGGCTGACCTCGTCCTGGCCCTCCTTGGCGGCTATGTGCAGTGCCGTGTACAGGTCCTTGGTGGTCGAGTCGACCGCGGCGCCGTGCTGCAGCAGTAGCATCACAATGTCGGCGTTACCCAGACGGGCGGCGATGTGCAGCGGCGTCTGCTGCTCCTGAGGACACAGGGACAGGGGTCAGATAGGGGACAGACGGGCGGCGATATGCAGCGGCGTCTGCTGCTCCTGTGGACGGGAGAGGGGACAGTGGTCACAATCAGGAGAATATTGGTCAGGTAGGGGGGGGGGGGCAGGGGCCAGATGGGGCATTCCACGATAGATCGTACCAGGCCCATCACCCTCATCTCTCAGATTTTAATGAAAATCGGTTCTAGGGGTAAACATAGGCCCCAAAGACGCCTGGCAAAATATCAGACTTCCCAGATCAAAACTTTTTGAGTTATATTGCATTACATTTTTTTAACTTCGGTTTATAACGGTGAGTTTGATGGCCTATAACTCAAGAACGGGTTAAGCAACCAACAAATGGTGAACAGCACTAAGCTTGCGATGAATCAGTGATAAATATTACTTTTTAAAAATTCCAAAGAAAAATTTTATTTGTTGAACAAAACTCTTAATCTTTTTTCATTTACCTCTAATGACTTTTGGGACCAAAAATTTTCACATTTTTACTTTCTCAAAATAAACTTCATGTCATTGTAAATCGACATGCAAAAAATTAGAAAGGTGTTCTTTCTATAAGTTTCTCATTTTCCCGCAAACAAAATAGGTTTCGAGGGGGTTAATAAGACCCCAGCACGCCGTTTGGCTTCTAATAGAGCTAGAGCCTCGCGGAAAAAACGAGCGTGTGTGCCGTTACAAGTCGCAGCGATTGGTACCCGATTTTAAGGTCTCAGGTTAACCGGTAGCGTCTGAGGTCAGGTCAAGTGACTGAAGTTACGGGTTCGGTTTTTAGTAAATAACTTCGCAAAAAATGGTCGCAGAGCCGCGATTTTGGCATCATTGTGTTCGCCTAGCTCAGGTGCGTCGAATGATATGCTTTTTGTTTGGATGAGGTCAACTTAAATAGTTGACCTCGGGTCAAGGTCAGGTCAGAGGCCCTCAGGTCACGAAGCTGGCAAAGGATATCATATGGCATATCATTCGATTCGGAAGGTCTTCCCGGGTCTATTGGTGGCTTTCCCGACGCTCTAGCTCAATTTGATCGGGAGTTATTGACAAAAAACTCGTACGACCCTAGTGACGTCATAAATGACGTCACGCAAGGCTTGCAATGCAAAAGTGAAGCATTGGACTTTGCAAGGAGTGCATGAAAACACGATACCATGTACGTGAGATAGTTTTAGATCATTCTCGGTGCCAAAATAACAGTTTTTATATTTCCCCATTGGCTTATAACAGTGATGTCACGTGACCGACCTGACCTTATGTGACCTTTAAAAATTCCCAGATATACAAGTTATGAGACCTCTGGAGGACACGCATATATGCGTCCTGTAACTTTCATCTCGGACAGCTATGGTCATTGGTGTCCAAAACAATGACAGAACCAAACAGCCTTTTTTACTCCCGCGCTTATAGGAAAGAGGGTTGGATGAACCCTCTTTTTATTTTTTCAGATGACTCGGACCTCAATTGAAATATCAGTAACCCGTGATGTCACTAGGCAGCTTTACCACGCCATTTGTAAGCTCCCCTCCTGAAATCACTATTCGAGACCGTTATCGCGACGCAAAATAAATACATTTATAGAAAGAACACCTTCCTAATTTTTTGCATACTTCTTAACAATGAGCCAAACATTATTTAAAGGAAATAAAAATTCAAAAAAATTCGGTCCCGAAGTCCAAAAAATACAAATGAAGGAAAACTCGAAATGCCATATATCAAAAATAACGTATTTTTCAAAATTTCAAAAATACATATTAATCTCTGTTCCATTGCAAGTTCAATGCTATATAATATTTGACATTTGAATAATCCGTCTTCGAGTTACAGCCCACCAAACTTAGCGCTGCAAAGCAAGATCCAAATAATGTTATATACCATAACTCAAAAAATACTTATCTGATAAGCCTGAAATTGTTACAGGTGGATTCAGAGCCCCTGATTACCCCTGAGACCGATTCTCGTCAAAATCCGAGAGATTAGGGTGTCAAATTGGAAAAAAGTGGTACGATCTATCGTGGAATGCCCCAGATAGAGAAGTATGCTGCTCCTGTGAAGGGGGAGGGAACAGACGGCGTCAGACAAGGGTCAGATTGGGAGACCTAGGGGACAGATGATCGGAACAGGGGTAAGATAGTAGTCCCCCTCCCTCTGCCCCTTCTCACCCTGGCTCTGGCGTCCACCTCTGCCCGGTTCCTGAGCAGGATGTCCTCCCTTCCCTCCCTACTCTCTCCCCCTCTCACCCTGGCCCGGGCGTCCACCTCTGCCCGGTTCCTGAGCAGACTATCCCCTCCCTCCTCTCTCCTTCTCGTACCCTGGCCCGGGCGTCCACCTCTGCTCGGTTCCTGAGCAGACTATCCCCTCCCTCCTCTCTCCTTCTCTCACCCTGGCCCTGGCGTCCACCTCTGCCCGGTTCCTGAGCAGGCTGTACCCCTCCCCTATCTCTCCCTCTCTCACCCTGGCCCGGGCGTCCACCTCTGCCCGGTTCCTGAGCAGGCTGTACCCTCTCTCCCTCCCCTCCCTCTTACCCTGGCTCTGGCGTCCACCTCTGCCCGGTTCCTGAGCAGGATGCGGATGATATCAGCCTGGTTGGCCCGCGCCGCCAGGTGCAGCGGCGTCTCCCCCCGCACCGTGGCGTGGTTGGGCTTGGCGTCGTGTTGCAACAGGTAGATGACGATGTTCATGCAGCCCATGAACGAGGCCACGTGCAGCGGTGTCAGGCCAGACTGGAAACGCAGAGAGACGGGTGTTAGATAATACTGCGCGGGCACACAGCACAGGGAGGGAACAGGCGGCAGAATAAAGAGCAAGTGAAGTCGGGGACAGCTGCTACGAAACCCAATATTTCGTAGCCAATAATGGCCGAATCGATAGAGGGAGATGGCATATAAAACATGCATCTATCTGAGGAAAAACACTTCCGTGAACAACCGTTTGGTTTCACTGGATTCGTCTCGACTAGCCTAGCATCATACCTATCCTGTGAACCAGCCTTTTACTTTTGTACAACACTACTAAACAGCCCCCGACTCCGAAATGATCCGACCCAGTACCCGCCCTAGTCCACACTCTACCCTCTACACCCTCCGCTCTGACTGACCTCGGTGGTGGCCTCGATGCTGGCGCCGTACTTCAGCAGCAGCTCCACCACCTCGATACGGTTCTTCTTGCAGGCGATGTGGAGCGGCGTGAATCCGTTCAGCGCCCGGGAGTTGGCGTCGGCGTGACGGTCCAGCAGCAGCTTGGCCACCTTCACGTGGCCGCAGTGGGCTGTCGGAGACGGAAATATTAGATATAGTGGGCTCAGGGAGGCGGTAATGAGATGGGTCACCGGAGCTACAGCGGGCTGTCTTAGATTCAAAAGGCGACTACACTGGCCTGTGGGAAGGAAGACTGGTCGGGGCTACCGACGAGCTAGTTGGAAGACAGATGTCGCCCATTAGTGTAAGAGAAGGTGACGGTGTATAAGATGATGACACTCAAGGCACTCAGCAAAGTGCGATTCCCTGCTCATCCAAAGCACTTTCAAAACAAAAGGAATTTTGCCTTTCAAAATGAAAAAGGCGCATACCACAGCACTAGCTTTTTCCAGCCACAACTCCTGCTCCTTCTAACGCCCTCCTCCCCCTCCCTCTCTCTCCGTACCGGCCACGTGCAGGGCGGTCAGGTAGTCGACGGTGACGTCATCGACGGGCGCCTTGTGGTAGAACAGTATCCGGGCGGCGTCCACGTGGTCGCCCTGCGCCGCCATATGCAGCGGCGTCAAACCGTTCTGTAATGAGGGAGACACGGGCAGTTAGAATAGTCAGAGTGCGCCCACAGCCATGTGCAGCGGGGTGAGACCGTTCTGGGGAGCAGAAATAGGGAGGACGGTCAGTCAGTGCGCGCCCACAGCCATGTGCAGCGGCGTCAGACCGTTCTGGGGAGCGGAAAACACGGGACAGAGGGGACGGTCAGACTGGGCGCAGTAGACGAACACAGCGTGAGGTACAACAGCTACCCATAGAATCTGTGGTCGGTGCTGGATAGCTGTTGTAATTGTGTCTTATGAGTGCTCCATATGATGGACACCGAACGTTAAAAACGCGACCATAGTTAGGGATCCTTTTAGATCTTTTCCTCTCCTCTCCATTAAGCTCCACTCCGAGCTCAAAATTAGGGCGTCCGAGCTCTGAATGTGACAATCAATTACAATGCTGAATCGGCGGGAAAACAGCGTTCGAACAGAAAGATAGCTTGGACCGTGAACGTTGGATGACGTCAAAAATCGTTTCGAGCAAACAGTTCAAAACAAGTCAAGGTTACGTTCAGCTAGAAAATAAGTTCCACTGCACAGCGCTACCTGATATTTTCGAGGATCACAAACATGCTGGTGTTTTACAGCGGCAACAAATAACCAGCATGCCATGACCACAAAAACGTGCCACCCTTAGTCATCTCCACATCACCCCTATCACCCCCTGGTCCACTCAGCTGTGGTCACCTTGGTTTTGGCCGATATGAAGGCGCCCTTTTCGAGCAGCAGGTCGACGACGTTCTCGTGTCCGCTGCGCGCGCCGCAGTGCAGCGGCGTGAGGCCGTCGCGCGTCTTGGCCTCCTGGTTGGCGCCGCGCTCACAGAGCAGAGTTACCATATTGGCCTTCCCCCACTTGGCGGCCACGTGCAGCGGCGTGATGTGGTGCTGAGAACAAACGGAGAGAGGGGGTCAGGTCAGGGGTGCTGGGAAACGGACACAAAGGGGGCAGGTTGTGTTGGAAACGACATGGGGAGGCAGGAGGGAGAGCTTAGGTTGCTTGAGGCTGAGACAGATCACATACTACGCCATGGCATGGCAGAGGGGACAGCTGTCATATGCACCACCGTGATATGCACCATAATACAGGCATGAAACAACAGTTTCATGTCTATGAAGATATGAAGACTTCTAAATACAAACTAGCTCAAAATTGTATGAAAAACGTGTTTATTTCGTTGTACGTATTACAGTTTCCATCGACTTGGGGAGGATCAAGCTGACATCGACCTGGGGTGAGATTGATGGACCACTGTACCATCAAACAAACCGGCGTGTTCTGTTCCAGATGTAAACCCAGATACAGTGATATCCGGTAATGAGACCCCGCTAATGAACATCATTGTACACATGCACCGTAAGCGGTTCAGACACGCAACTCAGCAATTACGGTAATTGGAACAACTCGTAAAGTCGTAAGTGCGACTCGTAAAGTCAACTGATCCAGGGACGGTCCTGAAGTCGACTAAAAAAGTACGAACAAACGTTATGATGTATTCAGTCATAACCTGCCACAGCCTTACACACTAACGAGGCAAACGATACCAATAATACCCTTCCTAGCCCATCAAACAGCACCTCCAGTGCCTGGTAAGTTGCCTCTACATTCACGAACACATGACCCGTCACCACCCACTTCTCATCACTTACCACCCCATTTCACCCCCCCCCCCCCCCACCATCACCACCACACATCAACCACCCCACCGCCGTTCATCAGCGCCGTGCCGCCCTGACCATCTAATGGAGACAGAACGGTATCTGACTGGCCACCAAGGCCGGCCGGGGCTCTGCTAGGAGAGCTGGACAACACCCAGCGCGCCCGGGGTCCGCTACGAATGCTGGACGACAAAGCGCAACCACCCAGGCTGGGTACTGGGAGCGATAACCGAAACACAACGCAGCCACACTGCTGGGAACAGAATGGACACAATACGAGTACACATACCACGACTGCCGAGACTGCCAGAGTTACGATAGGATAAACTATCAGACCGAGCCGAGACGGTCATATCTACAATGGGGAGACCTTCCGACCGGACCGAGACGACAAAGGTTAAAACGGGATGGGTCATTGGACCGGGCCGCAGTTACAACAGGATGAACCGGGCTAAGCAGTCACAGTTACAGAGAGACAGATCATTGGACGACAGGGACAGGACAGCGGTTACATGGGGTTGAGCCGTTTGACAAGACTGATACAGTTTTGTGACCCAGCCACCGTCGGTTTCACAGCCCTTCCCCGTGTAATCTGGCCCTGCCCTATTAGCATCACACATAGACTCCGGCCTGTGCCCTCCCCGTCCCGCGGCCCATAGTCCCCCACCATACCCACCTTGGCCATGTAGTTGATGTCCGCTCCCATACATCCCCCTCCCAGTCCCCTCCATACCCACCTTGGCCATGTAGTTGATGTCCGCGCCCCTCTACACCATACATCCCCCTCCCAGTCCCCCACCGTACCCACCTTGGCCATGTAGTTGATGTCCGCTCCCATACATCCCCCTCTCATTCCCCCACCATACCCACCTTGGCCATGTAGTTGATGTCCGCTCCTCTCATTCCCCCACCATACCCACCTTGGCCATGTAGTTGATGTCCGCGCCCCTCTACACCATACATCCCCCTCCCAGTCCCCCACCCTACCCACCTTGGCCATGTAGTTGATGTCCGCGCCCATACATCCCCCTCCCAGTCCCCTCCATACCCACCTTGGCCATGTAGTTGATGTCCGCGCCCCTCTACACCATACATCCCCCTCCCAGTCCCCCACCGTACCCACCTTGGCCATGTAGTTGATGTCCGCTCCCATACATCCCCCTCTCATTCCCCCACCATACCCACCTTGGCCATGTAGTTGATGTCCGCTCCTCTCATTCCCCCACACACCCACCTTGGCCATGTAGTTGATGACCGCGCCCCTCTACACCATACATCCCCCTCTCATTCCCCCACCGTACCCACCTTGGCCATGTAGTTGATGTCCGCGCCCCTCTACACCATACATCCCCCTCTAATTCCCCCACCATACCCACCTTGGCCATGTAGTTGATGACCGCGCCCCTCTACACCATACATCCCCCTCCCAGTCCCCCACCCTACCCACCTTGGCCATGTAGTTGATGTCCGCGCCCCTCTACACCATACATCCCCCTCCCAGTCCCCCACCATACCCACCTTGGCCATGTAGTTGATGTCCGCCCCCTTGTCGAGTAGCAGAGAGGCGATGTTCTGGTTGCCGTAGTGCGCCGCGATGTGCAGCGGCGTGAAACCAGACTTGCTCGTCACGTCCGACTTGTGGTCGTTCTGTCCGAGACAGGTCATAGATTTCAGGTCAAAGGTCGTTGAGCATTCGTCACAATTGTGAGGATCAGGGGTTAAGTTGCCAATGGTCATCCGACTACGATTGAAAGGCGCAAGACGCAAGCCACGCTTTATCATACTAGCCGAACTACATGATAACAGCACCACCTTTAGAAATACAGTAAACGTCATCATAGTATAAAAAGCTACATTGAATTGAAAAAGTCTAGTCTCCAATCTTCCCTTCTTCGTGTCAAATTCTGTTTCTATTGTTATCCCAAATCTCTCTTCATCCCCGCCCGTTCAATAATCTCGCCGATGTCGCTGACCCTCCTATGACCTCGAGTGTGCTCGGTACGGACCTGCAGCAGTAGAACGGCCGACTTGCAGTCGTCCTTTTTGGCGGCGATGTGTAGCGCTGGCAGCCGCACCTTGCCGCGGGTGTCGTTCTCCAGGAGGACGGCCACCACCTTATCGTGGCCCTGCTGGAGCGCCACGGCCAGTGGCGTGAACCCGTCCTGGGGAAGAGCAGAGGCAGGGAGGTCAGACGGGGGTTCGGGCAGGTCACCGCCCGGAGAGAGACGGGAGGTCAGACGGGGGTTCAGTCAGGTCACCACGTCTTGCACAGAGGGAGGGCAGATGGGGGGGGGGGGGTTCTTGCTGTTCGTGGATCACGTATGGCCACCACTGGCAAGCCATGGCAGTTCAAGCATGAATGAATTGCTACCGCGTTAGTCGAAAGATACGAAACGCCTTTAAGAAAGCATGAGCTGTTGCATTATCTTAATGAGGAAAAGGAGCGAAGTTGTAAGTTTTTTTTTTCACACACGTTCCAGCACGTCCCAGCGAACAGAATCTTTTACAAATAATGCTTTGTGTATTTCGAAGTGATAATATACAAACAGTTAGCCCTGGTTGGTCAGCGCGTCTATATGCGTGTCAGTTATGATTAGGCACGTGTGTATCGGCCTATACCCGGCCCCAAGGCCGTCCCTCTCCTCCCGTTCACCCCTTCCCCTCCCTCTACTGACACAGGTGGTGAGGGTGGCGACACACAGGTGTCACCTCCCCACCGTCCCCTCACTGTGAGAGAATGTCACCATCCTTCGGTCCTGTCAGCTGATGAAGTAATGGCGGTGCTTCAAGGGGCGTTCGTATGTGCTTACTACTTAGTGAGGTTGTCGTGCAAAAATTAGCACAATTGACCAACCGATATCTGCTTGCATATTTTAAGCTGCTGAGCAGCCTTTTCATCCTTTCCGAGCAGCAGCCCCATGGCTCTGACCAGTGTGACGTCAACGATAGACCCAAGTGACGTCGCCGACATCTCCCGATGGCGTCACTGGCCCAGAGTTCCATGCTTGCTGACTGAACGGCACAGCGCGGTCTCGGAAACGGCGATTAATATAAATTGGCCGTCCGCGGCGCTCGACCGTTTGAGGAAGCCATCAGGAGATCACATTACCACGGCGGCATAAAACGGCAGACGGGGCCGGCGGCAGCTGCGGCCCCGCTATAAATGCAGCGCGGCGACCGAAAAGTCCCTCACCCTGCAAAGGTCGTCTGGTTTGAGAGGCCAGAAAAACGTCCTATCCTATCAGTTTATTCTATATCCAGTCTCGTTTCTGTTTCACGCTCGTATGAGTGTTATTCCACTGAGCATTCACGCCCTGGGTCAATATTGGAGTCTCGCTGTGTTGCCACTGATCCAAATGTCCCTCTCCGCATCCGCAGTCGATTTCATATACCGAATTTTAAAGAGTTATCTTCACCAAAGAACTCCGTGAGGCGTGCGTTGTCTCAGTACCCCTAACCCTACCTACACCCTGCCTCAGTATGTCTCGGCATGTCTCCGGGTCAGCAGTGCCAGCAGTACCCCCCCCCCCCCTCCCCCCCGATAAACGGTCCCCGCCGGACGGAACCCATCGACCGACCACGCCCCGTACAGTCTCCGGCACCGCCGCCCAGACGGCCCGTACAGTCTCGAACACAGCTCACAGCGGCGGTGGCTTTGATGTCCGGACCTTATCGAACGGGCGACAGCGACACTAAATACATAATTTAGAGGACGGATCGACCACCAGAAGGAGCGATACCTAACGCTGAGGTTTTAACCCTACCACATGTGAGGACTCAGGGAAAGTCCTTTGTAGACGACAGCCGAATTTGTCAAATATTGTCAAAATGTTACCAAAATCATTTACCCACAATCCACATTCACTAGAGTCTAGACTATTATTCCCTATCCTGTTGTTTATCATTCCACTCGCCCGCATTAGGCTGTCTGAGAGTGCGCTGTCTTGCGGCACAGCATGCTTCCAGGCGCCGACCCCTGCTGCCATCTATCGGGAACTTTATAAGTCGTCTATTGCTTCGGCAATCTACGGTAAATGAAACTTTCTGCCTCCGCCATCTGTGAAAACCGGCCAATTTTCGTTGTCGCAAGTAAAACGGTCATCGAACATGAATTGTTACTGCCGGATGAGCAAAACGAGAGAAGAAACATCAAGCCTGCCAGGTAGGTAATTTCGTTTGGAATTATTCCGCCGCGACCAGTCACATTCTATTTCCGGTCGCTGTTTCCCGGGCCATCCAATCCCCGCCCTGTTAGCTCCGTGAGATCCTGATGAGGGACTATGTATGCTGGCTGGCCAGGGCGTCCGCGGCGCTGATGGAATTTCTGACAAAGTCGCTCTGAATTGTACTAACTGCTGACAAATGGATGTCCACGGTAAATGGTACGGCATGGCTTTGCCTGGAAACGACTCAGACGGCAGAGGAAGACGGTTCAAAGCTGCACATTCTGGGACCGTCCTGGGAATTAACTATTGGGTTGTGATCCAAAAATGGAGTGTTAGTTTTGACCCATTTGATCGGCGCCAATAGCGGCGATCAAAGTCCCAACTCCTCAGGCCCAGTTCACGCTGTCCAGGTCACCCCGGAGGTCAGAGGTCGCGCGGCCCAGGTCATCCCGGAGGTCAGAGGTCGCGCGGCCCAGGTCACTCCGGAGGTCAGAGGTCGCGCTGCCAGCGCTGAACCAACGGGCGGTGGGCCGTGCTACTGCTGCTGAATTATTAACCGCCCCGCCCCGCCCGGTAACGCCCGGGTGTGGTCTCTGTTACCAGGGACAGGCTGTCCGTGACCCGACACCTCGTGCTGCACGGAAAACGCCAAAATAGCAGCCGTGAAAGGCCTCCCGTGATGTGGGTTTCAGAGAATCTTATGGTAATATGGTAATATCAACTGGGTTCATAAAACTGTGGCATGTGTATGTTAGTCATGTGTACGCCACCATCATTTATGAGCCAACTATGCAGCACACATCAGAGATGAGCGCTTTACTCAGGAGCACATACGCTTCCTATCTCCTGCCCAATTAAAATTTCGTTAACAGATGGAAACTGTTATAAGTTTCCCGTGTCGGCCCGCCCCATGTCACGCCCCTGGTCCTGGCGCGTGTCTCCATCCTACTCCATCCCCCTTAATCACCACCGTTCCGGTCAGCCCTCGGCGGCTGTATGGCCGGTCGGCCGCAATCAGGGACACCAATCGCTCTGTGTAGCTAGGGGCAGAACAGTGGCGGTCATTTAGCCAGAGGCGGACACCCAATGTCCGCACTAACAGACGCGGACATTTAGCCGACGGGGACACCAAGTCGCACCCCGAGTCCAGGCTAACAGCGGAGGTAACGGCGGCGGACACCCAGTCACACCTTGTCAGACTTGTTACCAGAGGCGGCGGTAACACTGCGGTGGTAACATGGCGGCGGTAACAGCGGCGGACATTCCGCCCAAATTCCGCCCACATCCAATCAGACCAAGTGCCACTGGCGCTGGGCAGCGGGTGTCTCCAATCTGGCAGAACGGTTCTGTGCCGGGGTCCCTCCAGCGGGCCGGGAAGTCTGCAGCATCGGGTAACGACAGCCATCCGTGGAGCCAGCCTTCCGGACGGTACTGTACTCCGGACCAACGGATACGGGATAGAGCAGCTAGCTACGTGATCTGAGTCGGGCCGTGAAGTGATGACGTGCGCGATGGAACGAACACCGTTCTTGAGATGTTTTAGTTGGTGAATGAATGGCTTGACGCTAGGACAGTGGAAGTACTGGTGCCTATAGCGGATAAGGATATGCAAAGGCCTCTTGTTTTCAATGGCTGTCTCCTTCTGAAACAATGGATTGACAGAGCTACGTGAATGTACGGTGTTCAGCCGTTTGCCTTTTCCCTGGCGTCAGAAACATCAGCCCTAGACGCAGACCCTGACTCACTCCATCTGAACACACGGCATACGCAAACAGTCGCCGGGCCGAGCGTACGGTACGTGACGGATCACGACCGTCACGTCCGTCACGGCCGTCAAAGGGCCGTCACAGGCCTGTCGGCCGGCGGCTGACAAACAGCCAACCTCGGCGGAACACAGACTCTGGGGCGGGGTACGGTGACTGGGGCTGAAAACGCACCGCCCGGCAGACAGTCTGTCCTTTCAATGATACCTTACCTCCGAGGGCTATGCGAGACTGGTGACACTCCTTTCCAGGATAACCCTGCACAAATCCTCCTGACAGGCCACACGGCCACAGCCGCCCCAGCAGCCGCCGGGTCTGTATTGACCCAGAGACCGGCGCTGGCCGGCGGCAGTGGCAGTGGCGGAGATGACCGTCCCAAGAAGAGCGCCTCGAGTGTGTGCTCTGGCACTGATGAGAAGGGCGGGGAGGAGAGAGAGAGAGAGAGAGAGAGAGAGAGAGAGAGAGAGAGAGAGAGAGAGAGAGAGAGAGAGAGAGAGAGAGAGAGAGAGAGACGGAGAGAGAGGGAGGGAGGGAGAGAGAGAGAGGGAGGGAGGGAGAGAGAGAGACGGGGAGAGAGAGAGAGAGAGAGAGAGAGAGAGAGAGAGAGAGAGAGAGAGAGAGAGAGAGAGAGAGAGAGAGAGAGAGAGAGAGAGACGGAGAGAGAGAAGAAGGCCAGAGAGCAGTGCTGATCTACATAGAGCACATCCCGATTACCTCGGAAGTTCGGGACAGACAGTTGGACAGGGATTGATTACAGTTTGCAGGCAGTCGAGCATATGAGATGAAAGCTAACTTATCCAGGACTGCGGAAACCCACAACACAGTCAGTGCTGCCCCACTCCCTGTTCTGCCTGCCGCCTGCCTGTCTCCTCTATCGCCAGGTCGTTGCTCTGTCCTCCCCGGAGGGAGCACCTCAGATTGGTCAGAGCGGGGCAGCATGGTAACGCACATCGATTGCGGCCTGTGGCCGACGGCAGTCAGCGCACGTGGAGCGAGGAAAATGGGGCATAGACGGGAATAATGAGACGCTAATGAGGGAAATGGGACGAGAGATAAGGGACGGGGGAGAATAAACAAGTACTAGGAGACGCGCAAGACTACTGTCGAGTTCAGAGAGGGAGTTTTAGGTTAAGTTTGAGAGCAATCTTGAAGAATATAAAAAGTAACTACACAAAGACGCATAAAAGGCTCGTCGTGATCTGCAGTAAGCATGGCAATTGGCATCTAGTTACACCTAAGATTGTTGGAATGAACAAAAGGAATTACTCACTGTGTAAATCGTAAGTATAACACAGGTGTTATTTCTTACGATACTGGGTCAGCAGCTCCTTGCTGGAGCGGGTCAGAAGCGTCTCCTACCAACGGCTGTCATGGGCAGTTCGACCATACACCTCAATACGTGCAGAGCGCTGTCCTTGCAGTACCTTCCTCCCCCCCCCCCCCCCCCGGCGGAACTATCTGCAGCGTCGGCCGGTTTATTTGTTCTCCAGCCCACCGCCACCACCCTGCCCCATCATCTCATCTGGCAGCACCGTTTGGCACCCCGACACGGCTGCCAAATGCGACAGCGGAGCTACCAGACGGGGGCTGCATACACGATAAGGTCGGCGGACGTACCATCAAATACCTGCTCTGGGGTGAGAGCAGGAACACCTTCTCTGGGGGAGAGGGAGCGAATACCTCCACTGGGGAAAGACCGTCGCTGTTCTAGCCTCTAGGGAAATCTCCCGTTAGGTCCGGCTCCAGTAGAAAACAAACGACGCAGGGGCGGCGAGACGCGCAGAGGGAGGGACAGAAAAATGAAACCGATACGGGCGAACGAAAGCTGAGTTTTAGTACCGCCGTCGTTAGGACTTCAATTTCACTGGTTAATCGCGTGTGCAGCAATGGCTGCATCCATCGGCGAACACATGTTCGCCTGTGATGTGTTCGCCTGTGTTCAATTCCCACCGAGAGCAATTCTCCGTTGCACCTCTCTGCATATTGGATGCTGAACGATTCTCACTTCTGTTGCGATGCTCTGGTTGGCTCTGCTGGCCACTATACTGCCTCAGTGTCTCCGTATCTCAGTTGATATCCCCGTAAGTGTCTCACCTCCGTCACGATGCTCTGGTTGGCTCCGTTCGCGCCAGTGTATTGTCTCAGTGTCTAAATCAGAGCCTCGCTGCCTCACCTCCGTTGCGATGCTTTGGTTGGCTCCGTTTCTCAGTGTTCCTGTCCTGTGTCTCATTGTCTCACCTCTGTTGCGATGCTCTGATTGGCTCCGTTGGCCAGCAGGTACCGCACCACGGCGTCGTGATTCTCCTGCGCCGCCATGTACAGCGGCGTGAAGCCATTCTGGCTCTGGGCGTTCACGTTGGCGCCCGCCTGCACCAGCAGACGGACGATCTCCTCCTGGCCGGCTGAAATAACGGGAGGGAGGGAAGTTAGATGGACTAGTTACTCCTGGCCGGCTGGCAAACGGGAGAACGGGGGAGTTAGATGGACTATCCACTCCTGACCGGCTGAAAACGGGGGGGGGGGGAGGGAGTAGCCAGACGGGAAGGAAGGGAGAAAGACGCACAATAGAAGGATGAAAATTCGACCCAACCGTAATATATTTTGTGTAACAGCTTCATATAGGTAAGCTGTCTTTTTTATCCAGATTCACCGCGACAGCCATCTGCATCCTTCCAGAATCGTGTTTCAACTGCGCGTCCGTTGGCACGCCCGCGTCTCAAGGCAACGTCCCGTGAAGTGCACCAAGCGACACTGCCAAACAGGGTCTCAAAGGGGTCTTGGCGGGTTCGGCTCACTCAGGGACCAATGTCCACCAATCAGACATCTTCAGAAAACACGATACTCCGCCCACCCCGCCTACGTCACTGATCATATGACAGGATAACCTAACAGAACATGGAGTAGGGCGTCACTTGTCAGTGACGCGTCCTAACTATTCGTCACTCCGGCCTCTATTCGCCCCCATGTCCCTCTAAATCCCTCCCCTATCTTTCTGCAAGTCACGACGTCCTTGCTGCAAGTCACAAGGTCCTCGCTGCAAGTCACAAAGTCCCCTGACCCGGGCCAAGTGCGTCATTTGCCAAATGACCGCGGCGTCAATAAAAATAAACCAACTGGGCACCCGCAGTGACGCATCCGACAAAGGGTGGGGCCCTCATATGGCCGCAAGGCTGGCTTTTTCAAAACATGACATCTACTTGTAAAATGTTTCTACCTGGGACCTAGCAGTCAGACAGTAATTCAAATGCCAAAAAGCAAACAAAACTAAATGATTTATGCATTGATAGAAAGTTCGTATTGAACTTCCATTAAAAAAAATCATTGATGCAAAATAGCTAACTGTCGTTCAATTTTTTCCGTTCAGTTCATTTTCGTTGAGTAACAGAAGCAAAACAATCAACATTTCCAGTGCCCGGAAAAGATAAACTAGAGTTGTGTAATGTGTATGATAGTAATTAGATTAGGAGCTTCGGACATCACCCATACTTTGAATCTTGTTGCAGATGATAACTTATCAAGAACCTGTGACGGTCCTGAATCATCACTAGACTAATCAGTCTCCCTCCCAAACCTAATCAGGAGGTGGGATTATAATCATAACACGCGTGTATCTCGCATAAACAACCACAAATGAGCCCCTCCCGGCGCTCTATCCCAGCGTACACCAGTAATTGGTGTAATAAACACGTGAGTAACGCGGTGTCAGAGACGCGGAGCAGGCCGGCGGTCAGACACGGGGGACTATGGGGTGGGCAGGGGCAGCTGGGGCGAGCGTGAACTTAGCCGCCGCGCACTGCACTGATATACTCGCATGTCGGATAAAGGACTTAGCAATCACGGCTTATGGCGAGCCTCAACAATAAGGAAATTAACTGATTCAATCCAATATTTAGAATACTAGACAGAAATCAATCAATCTGTCCGATAAAGCGGAATAGATATTGCCCCAAATACAAAACCAAACAAATGTTTAAAGCCTCGCCCGTAGACGCAGAACTGTCTGTCCCAGATGTTCCAGCGGACCGACTGGGACTGTCAAGGTCACACACAGCAGAGCTGCACAGCTGCGTGCATCAAAGGTTACAACCACCGTGATGAATAAAATGCCCACAGTGGGCCGCGCGGACGGCGGAGGGCGGGCCGGAACGAGCTGATGAGCTGGGGAGGTCAAGCGGCTGATAATGGAGCCGGTGCTATACTGCGAGGGTCGTGTAGAACTGTTCATGCAATGCATATTTTTAGCAATGTAAACAGGCCTAGCCACATATAAACAGAAATCGCTTGTTAATTATAACAAGCGTACAGTGAAAACGAAATGTAGTGCGATGTAATTCACTAAAATATCGAACGAAATTTTACTTTTAAACCTCTTGTTTGTTGGGGGTTAGGGGCGCGCCGACTGCGAGGTCATTTTGCGCCCATTACTTTTAAACCTCAACTTTCTTATAACCTTTTGAAAGTCACCTATCCACCCACACCGCTCGCCCTTTCCTGTGTAACAAACACGCACACACTTTCCAAAGGGAGGGGGGCGGATCACTCACCGAGGGAGGCCACGTGCAGGGCCGAGTTGCCCTTTTTGGTGACTGCGTCAACATTTGCCCCTCTGCTGAGCAGTTCACTGACGATGTGGCCGTGGCCTTCCTTGCTGGCCAGGTGGAGTGCGTTTAGACCGTTCTGGAACAAGACAGACACAAACGGCACAGTCAGGTCAGGTCAGGTCATACGAAAGACGGGCTCTAAACGAGGTCAAGACTGCAAGAGGCTGGGTATTTCGTGGTCGGTCAATGTAGAAGACAAGAACAGTCATCACGAAGCTAAAAAAGGAAAACAGGATTCAGGATTTAAATTAACGGCATATGAAAGCCGCTGAGCAGGGGCATGAGCACAAAAAACGGCATATAGCATACGGTAAAGATCGGGTATAATAAGACATAAATTGCCAGTCTACTGAGAAAAGTCGTTTTCAGTGAGCGATGAGTTCAAGACAACGCAAGTTCTGCAGTTATATTTCAGAATAAACCACTATGGATGCGATTTATGACATATGAAGCAGAAATAAACGGCCATTTCGCAAAAGTATGTCAGTTTTGACGTCATTCCGGAATGACGCAATGGCGATTAAGCAGCTATCCAAATAGATAAATAAGCGAATCTTTGAACAGAAACCGTAGCTATGAAGCCAGCGGTCCTACCTCCTGGCTCGTCAACAGGCCCTGATCTGTCATTCAACTTGTATAAGCCCTATCCACCAATAAGCAACAATCTCTATCCCACCTACCTAATTGCAGAGTCTGATCCCCTGCAGAGTGCAAACTGCACACTGCATAGCCAACGCCATAACGTCAATTAGAAGCTTATTACTGCAGGTAATCATGAAAAGCGTATCGCTAGTGTTTTCATGTCCTATAACGCCATGTCTATTTCATATAATTATAATGTTACTGAAGGTAGTTTCCGCTAAAAACATGGGCGGCGGAAAGGTGGGCACCGGAGCACCGTACCCCTCCCCCCTTTGATTTACGCATTTTAACATCAGCCCTATGGGCGTTGCATGGAAAGAATTGGTCTCTGGACCAAAAGTCGCCAGCGCCCCCCCCCCCCCTAATTGCAGGTGTGTTACGCCGCCACTGGCTAAAAAGATGTCTCCAAAAAACAAACTCAAACATATTAGGTACTAAAAAAATCATCAACACACCTATGAACAATAAAACGGGAGTGGTCACAACGAAATGGCTAGAAAAGTAAATAAATCACAAATTATCTGCCGTATAAGTGCAAACGACCAAAAACTTGAAACTGGCGATAACAGACACAGTTCATTCAGTCTTTTGGAGGCTCCGTCTAGGCCACCTCTAAACTCCCTCTCTCAGGATTCTAGAATCACAGGACAGCCGCCATGACAGCGCGCATCGATCGCGCCAACGCCTCCGCCTCGCCACAGACGCCGCCGATCGCCGTCGCGCGCCCTGATTGCGCTGATCGAAACCCGATCTGAGCAAACAATGCAGCGGCGGCGACCGATCGGACGGCGGTGACGGTCGGGTCGGGGGTGAACGATGGCCGAATAGAGCCGCAGGATGGCGTATAAAAGAGCAATAGCGAGAAACTGAGCGGCCAGGCGAGCCCGAGTCTATCCTATCCGTAAAAATACGTTTTGAAACGGCTGAGAAGATTTTGATTGGAATCGAAAAACAATAGCAGCTCCAGTCTGATAAATTACACCACCTTGAAAAAAATATTAAATAGCGAGATAGCATAACAAAAGGAATTGTAAAATGGGCAATCAGTGAAATGAATAACGCCAAGAAGAGTAAATTATTATCATATAATGCAATATTAGTAGATGGAAGCCGATGACAAGGTTCGTTTAAGACTACAGTCGTTTCTTGTCTAATGTTTATGAACATCACTGATCAAAAAAGAAACATCGATTGCTATCAAAGAAATTAAAATGCCATTTTTATATCACAGGCTGCTAAAATCCGGGTAACGCTCTTGGCACATCGTGACCCGGACACCTCACCACCACTCCGTTCCACCCCTCAGCCGCAGGGCGTGACCCGAGTGGCCGCGGGGCGTGATCCCAGTGCCCGCAGGGCGTGACCCCGACTGGGCGGCGGGCCGACCTTGTGGCCGCAGCACGCGCCCCGCACCTGACGGCGGGTTCAATAGAGCCCCTCCCCCACCTCCCCCACCCAGGCCGGGGGGACGGGTCACTGAAGGTCGCACGATACGCCTCAGGCGAGACGAAAATAACCACACGTAGCACCCGGCCAGGAAAAATGGCACTGGTTCGGCAACAAAGGTGGATATCGTTGAGCTTCACACCAAACAACCGAACGCCTTTGAAAAGAAGAACTTACTATCCCTGTACTTAATCGCCTTCTTAAATGACAGTAAATTAATATTTAATAGTCCAATGAAAAGCTGTCACGGTTTCACTTTCCGGCCAATTCTACGCGGACGAACAACAGCGTGCCTCCCGGGAGGCCTGTTTCGCTAACGCGGTTGGTCTTTAGATTGATGGCGCTGCTCTAATGGCGACCCTCTGCATCGTCCAGCGATCGAGCTGAATTCACGGCGCGCACACAATGGTGCGCGGCAGCACGGCCCGTGTCGTCAGCAAACCGCGCGTGTTCTGTTCACTGAATATTTCAGTGTTGACCGGTACTGGACCAATAACCAGTGGTCAGTACACCGCAGGTGTTCTGTTCACTGTGAGTTAGCGCCCACGGGTGCTGGGCTAATGACCAATGGGTTAGTACACCGCAGGAGTTCTGTTCACCGTGTGTGACTCGGCGCAGACCGCGGCTGGACCAATGCCAACTGACCGTCACCGAACCACTGCAGGCGCCAATCAGTCCCATTAGAGAACAGACGTGACTCAGCTACCTAACGGCGGGCAGACAGACTGAATTGGATCGGACTGAGTCGCGACGGCCGGATAACACAGGACATATTGCCGTAGGTTCAATGACTAGCGAATGAAAAGGATGGTTACGATCGAAGTTTACCATCTGCACTGAGAAGGTATTTTTGATAAAAAAGTTCAACAGATTTTTGTCCACAAAACGTAAATACCTGCTCTAGACCAAATCTTCTCGGGGTCAGTCAGAGCTTCTTCGTTTGTTCCAAGCTACACCAAGTGTCAATCCAAATTCCCTACCAATCGCTGCACGTTTTTACGTTCTACAGAGTTCAGTCAGCTTGTCCTCCCGGTTCACCCCCCGCCGCGGTTCCCCTCCCTCCACAGTAGATATATCCCTCGCCTTCTCACCTGGTTACATGTGTTGATGTCTGTGCCGTTTTTGATATAGTCGAGAACCTTGTCCAGGTTGCCGCCCCTGGCTGCCCGTAGGAAGCTGGAGCTAGCATCGGACTGAAACACACAGAGACAGGGCAGAGGTCAGCCGAGGTCACACAGCGCTGGGACACGGGCGAGGGGAGGAAAAGTGGGCAGGTCATCCACAGGTTACACAGCGGAGTACAGAATTACGATAAATTACCGAAACTTTATCGAACCACCAAATACATTAGGTATAGTTTGCTGTATTGAAGAATGTATTATTGCAGTTTTCTGTCACGACACTGCTTTCTTCCATACGCACTACGCATTGTTGCTAGGTCAGCCTGAACCCTCACCCGCACCTCGCCGTGGGGGAGGGGGGGTCATCGCCAGGGGGCCATGACCGGGACACCCTGCGTCATTAGCTGAGTAGTCAGGCGTGGGGTCATCAGAGTCATCAGGGAGATAGAGATGGTCAGATCGCCTGACGTGACCAGCCACGGATAACAAAGCGGGGACGCGTTAGCGACGGTACCGGCGCTAGTAACCATGGCGTTCCTAGCGGTGTTCACTGTTCATACCACCCAGAATACTGTGAGCCTAGGATGTCATTGGAAGGGCCCCAGGACACAAGGATCCCACAAATCACCAAGCGAGGTAGTCAAGCGAGGTAGTGGTAGTAAAAGTGACTCTTTTTCACATTATTTGCGTGCAACCGCTGAGATGCGATATGTATTCAAGTCCGAGCAAATTAAAAAAGGAGCGTAACCTGCATAAACATAGGTCCACGTCAGCGAGTCATGTCGACATCATGTAGGTAGTTTGTTTAACTGTGTATACAGATGACAATTTTTCCCCTCGTCCTTCATTGCGCACCTGCCTCCCCTTAAGATAAACAGAGACCGGCACCCACCCTGTTTTACCGGTCATGATCGGAAGATCAAAGGACATGCCGCCGCCACCAGTGGTGGTACTGAGATCATTGACCTGACGGGGGTGTCCAAAGATAACAGAGGGGGCTTCCGGCTGAGACCATCGGGTCAGGTCAGGGAGGGGAGGGGAGGGGAAGAGAGGAGGGGGACCTGGAACGGAATGCTGGTACAATGAGGTACTTAAATGACAAGCGCTGGCTTACTGGAACAATTTCTTGCGAGTGTTGCTGAATTCAACATGAAATATGCATGGGAATGTGGAAACTACTGTAAAGCGCAAGACAGAATTTGAATTATTTTAAAAGCCAAATGTTATAAAAAAAAATCCGTTACCTTGAGTAAGGTCCTGAAAAATAATAGACGAAGAATTTGGCGGACTTCAAGCAGTCACAAAAGCAGGTGAACTGCAGTGATGCCATGTCATTAATAAGCATGCACTGTGCATAGCGAGTACGCATTGCATATATGATACAGGCTTTACCACCACCATGAGTAAAGGAACACCAGCCGCCTAGTTGCGCTCAATTTGCCTAGCAGACCAATGATCATCCATCAGTTAGTATCGCCGCCCTGCCCAGGGTAACACGCAGTGAGCGGGCCGATCCACCCATCCGTTACCCCCTCCCCCTCCCTCAGTAACTGCCGCCGGCGTCGGTACGACTCTGCTAATGGCTCCGACATGGCGCAGCAGCGATACCAATAATAAACCGGGCGGCAGGGCCTCCGGCGGCGGCGTATACCGCCCACTGCCCACTGCACCCACCGCCATATTCTTCATTGATAGAGAACATAGTGAAGCACTTTTGTTCAAAAATGCAAAAGTCCACTGCTGGGACATATTGGCATTTTCCATTAGATGGCACCGTATGTTATTGATCACCAAATAGCGCTGATACAACACAGCCCGATTGATTTATCATCGAAATCACATTTGGGCAAATGTCGGCGACATTCAGCCAATAAAAAACAACAGACCACGTTCACCGAAAAGTTGCTGTGATATTCTGGAATGTGACGATTCAAGTTCGCCATTTGACAGACGATGCATGAACTGTGATCTCCACAGCGAATTGGCATCACTGTTCGCATTATCCTCTGTTCACGCACTCTCATCCCTTCTCTAGCTCCCCCCGTTCCGTTCGTGCCCGATCTCCCTCTAGCCCCACTCCGTGCGTCAATGGACCCCGTTCGATGCCCGGCGGACGTCACAAGGTCTGTAGTCGCTCCAGAATGGCCCTGCCTCGGCCTGTAGCAGCTCCCAAACAGTCGCTACAAAACGACCACGCCCACGGCTCCAACTCAATCAGCATGTAGTCGCTACAAAACGGCCCCGCCCCTCGCTAAAACCCCGCTACCCGTCGGCCCCTCGCTTGCTGAAAATTGCCGCCACACAGGCTTCAGCCGCATGGTAGCGGTGCGTTTTCCAGTGCTGGACGGCAGCATGTGTTTAATCAATGCGGAAAATGGAAGCGAAGCATAGTTTTAGAAGGCCATAGGTAGCGGGAAGTGGAGAAATGAAGCACGACGGAAAACGAGCCTGGCATTTTTAGCAGGGGGAGGGGAAGAATCAACTATCTTGAGTGCACTTCTGAGCGTAATTATTTGGGTTACCAGCTTAAAAGTGCAACGCCTACCATCAACAGGAAGTCCACGAAAACATTACTTCATTCGAAAACGAAACCGTTGCCGTCACCCATTTCTGGAAACATTGCGACATCGCGCCGGCTCCCCGTTCAATCCATGAGCGCTCGTTTCCGCCGCCTCCGCCGGTACCGTGATCAGGGGCCAAACTAAACAGACGGGCCGCGACCCCTTCCCACGCCCAGGTGAGGTCACTTCTACCTCAGGGCCAAACAGAAGGGCTGTGACCCCTCCCCAGGCCCACGTGAGGTCACTGCTGCCTCGAGCCAAACAGAAGGGGTGTGACCCCACCCCGGGCCCAGGTGAGATCACTGCCGCCCCGGGCTAAACAGAAGGGGTGTGACCCCTTCCCGGGCCCAGGTGAGGTCCCTGCCGCCCCCGGGGGCCCAAGCAGAGGGGTGTGACCCGGGAGATCACCCCCGCCCAGGGCCCTGTTGGGTCTGTTCAGGAGCAGCGGCGGAGGCTCAGTTTACGGAAAGATCTCGCTGATGTCAGCCGGTCGGCAGCAAATGTCACTGGCAGGCCATGGGCGGTTTTATTGCCGTCATCTTATAAACAGGAGTTGCGAAACGGGAGCGAAGACGATCATCATCCGGGGAATGCAGTTCCTCTATGCATTTATCATCAAATATCGCCACTCCACGTATTCGCTTTTACGTACAGGTCTCGCGGGTTTTAGCGGTAGGTTTTGCACCTAGAAAATTTAGTTTACTTCAGGCTATATCTTCGTCGTCTTAAGCTTTTAAGTGTTGAAGATGCGATCGACTTGTTGGGTAATTCAAGCCGGCCATGATCGTGTAAAATGGCTTCATCGTAGATCGATTAGTTTCTGAGATATAACCGGAAATGTAAAAGTGCAAAACCTACCGCTTAATCTCGCGAGACCTGTACTTTCCAGCCAAGTGTTTAAGCTTGTTTTACACAACCCTGTTCTTTCAGTGCCATCTTTTTATTATTTTTTTCCTTAAGCGTGTCCCGGCATTCAGCATTCTAGGCATTCACTGACCCGAACATTGCCAGAACCGCCCGCCCAATGGGCGCCCATGCCTGGCATAAAAGCATACTGCCACGAGCCACTCCTCGACAACAATGCGGCCTCTCCATGAAAGAGCCCACCGCCTTTTGCGGCCACTATAGCAGAGAAACAGGACCACCACCCGAGAGAGAAGGAGAGAGGAGAGGTGGGGGGAGAGGGGTGGGGCGTGACCTCCATACAGCCGCGGGGCAAGCGGAGCCGGCCGGGCCGCAATGGCAGAGCAAACAGACGGTCTGATGACGCTGTCAACACAACACACAACGAGAGCCGCGGGATGGCGGCGGCGGAGGAGGCAGAAAGGTAGAGGGGAGGATGCAATGAAGGAGAGGATGGGAGGGATGGGTGAGGGATGGCTGCAGACGCGGTGGAAAGACGATGGAGGATAAGGAGCGGGAGAGAGAACAAAAGAAAGGTCAGAGGAAGTGAGAGGCAGGAAGGGAGGAAAAATATAGAGAGGAAGAGGGGGTAGGAGCGAGCGAGCGAGAGAGAGAGAGAGAGAGAGAGAGAGAGAGAGAGAGAGAGAGAGAGAGAGAGAGAGAGAGAGAGAAACAAAGCGGCGTAAATAGTCATATACGATCCGACCGATACATCGATTCACGCAATCATTCCAAAGAACTTCTCAGTATCAGACATTAGCCAAAAATAATTACTGCAAACACTCGAGATAAATTACATCATGGCAACATCACCCTAAAAAAAAACATGTTCTGGTCGCAGCCGAAAACGATGGGGGCGGCTCCTCCTCGACAGACAAGATTGATGAAGTCAGTAAAAACACCCCAGGAAGCTCCGATCGGGGGATATTAGCGGACCGGAGAGACGATCCGTGCCGGCGGCAGGTCCGGAATTCCGGCTCCCCGGACCCCGCTACCGGTCCGTCGGGCATCCGTACGTCTGTCTGTCTCCGGGGTGCCGCTAATGACCTGCGTCCGGGTCACACAGGGGTCACGAGAGGTCAAGCAGAGACGCGGGTCACCAAGGGGAGCAGGTTCCGCAGCTCACTTGCCATTGCGACTCACAAGTGGTTATGCGCGTTCTTCATCAATTTGGCACGGTTTTGACCTAACCGTGGTGAACAACACGGCGGAATTTACCGAGCCATAGTCGTAGTCCGCTATCGCCCGTCGCCGTGTTTGTTTGGTTTCCACAGCGGTCGCATACCGCTGACTATAGCAGTATCGCGGGAATCAACCGGGAGCCTTCCGCAAATAGCTCCTGTATGCCACACATGGGAAATGGCTCATACTGTGAGGTGCCCTGATAGGCAGACGATAACGATACGTGTGTGTCAAAAGGTCAAGGTAAGTAGCACCAGACAGAAATAAAGTTCTGAATGGCGCTCTTCGCTAAAAAAGCGGCAGATAAAATCCGAAGCACACATCCAGTTGAGTTCTGCCGGATTTCTCTCACCGAGTCCGCGTCACCCAGAAATGCCCGGAAGTGGTGGCGTCTGACCCCTCACCCCCGGTCAGTCACCCCCCCCC